TTCTATCGTTTCGCGTTTAACAAACGAACGTGAACCAATGGAAAGCGGATGTTTTTTTTGTTCTTCTTTTTTTTCCACTTTTTCAAAACTTGGTCGGAAACTTGGTTGTGTACTTTTTGCAGTTATTAAGAAGTGGGAGGAAAAATACAATTTCACGTTATATTACCTTCATGTTTGGAGAATATCTCGATCAGGATCAAAGGCTTATTCGCGAATTCTCTCTATATTCCACGCCTCGTGAGTAAATGATCGTTCGATTAAAACCCTCGAGGATCCTTTCGTGCTCGCTTTCAAAGAGATTTTCATCAAAAGGGGAAGATTAATTGATTCGAGATTAATTATCAATTAATATTTATGCACGCGTGATGCTCTCCTAAACATCAGGTGGTTGGATCAATTCGCTTTCTTCACGACAGAGTGCACGATATATTTTTTTGTTAGGGAGGAAGAATTTTTATTAGCATATAGTGGCTTTCTCCCTCTAATAGGACTTTTACGACGAGCTGTGGGAACGGAGACAAATGACGGATTTTCCCAAGGCTTCTCGGTTTAACTTTTCCTTCCTCCGCCATGGAAACGAGTTCTCGGATGTAATTTCGCCATACGGCGGCGCCGGCCCAAAAAGGCGTCGAGTTTAATGAACGGCCGAAATGTTTTTTTCCATTTAAATTGCAAATTTATAGCGATTGCCCGCGCGCTGCCAAAACAAGAATCGAACGAAACGAGAGATTACTTTAATTGTCGAAATGAATTTTTAAATTATTCTCCCACGGAATGTGTATTTCTCGTCCCAGGACATGGAAAGAAGAAAGTTGCTTCGATAAGTTGAATAATTTATTATTCGATAATTCATTTTTCACTATTAAAAGATAAAATTTTTTCTTCTTACTTGATAATTAAAAAAAAAAAAACTAAATGCACGTATAAACGTCCATGAAGAGGAGTTAAAATCTCATTTGAACAAATAATTAACTGCAACGATTAAGATTGTATAAAGACTTCTTTTTCGTTAACTCGTTTTTTCAAAAGTAAACGAATTTAGAATATTGTTCCCGTACGAGTACAGCCGAAACGTATAGAAATATTAGGTTAGCTTTCCAGAAGATTCCATCGATGAGAGGACCGTTCGACGGTGGTTTCAAAAATTTGAGTCTGGGAACGAGAATCTTGAAAACGAGCCCTGAAGTAAACCGAAATCCATATTAAACGAGGATAAATCGAAAGCGAAAGTGGAGACAGAGTTGCGGACGATGATCTTCGCGCGTTCGAACAAAGCGAGTGAAGCGAAGAAACTGAAAAAATGGGTAGCAACGCCAATCGGCGACGCTTCGAAGCGTGGTCATCGCGCGAAACTCTAAACGACATGAGTCCGTTCTCGAATAGAATTACGAGCTGTGACGAGAGACGAATGCTAGACGATGGTCGGACGCCAATGAAAATCCTGAACGAATGACAAAACCGTCGTTACAGCGGTTCGTCGTTCTTCGAAACAAGGAGATATCGTAATACAGCAACATCCCACCGTCGAGAAATGGATCGAGAAACAAGTCGCGGACCTATTCTTCCGTGACGCGACAATATTTCACCAACCAATCGTCGCACTCGTTTCACAGTTGTTTAAAAAAAAAAATATTCGATGCTCGAGAATTTATAAAAAATGGAATATGGTCGATTGGGGGAAAATAATTGTTTTTCCTTCCGATCAACAAAAATTTCATATGGACCTAATGGAATAAATATTATTCCAGCATTTCAAAATTTCAATCAATTAATTTTTCAATCCACCAGTGCTCGTTTTCCATTCGATAGAAATATCGTATGCAACGAAAAAGTAGGAAATGTTTAAAGTAAAACCGAGAAACCATCTTCGCCAAAAATCAAAATCCAACATATAACAAAGTTCTATTTTCGTCGCGAATTTTCTACAAATGGACGGCAAGGACTGAGAACGTATTGGAGGATTCCTCGAGAGCAATTTTCTCCTACCTATTACACGCATCTGAGATCAGTCGTCAACCATCCCTGACGGAACATCCAACACGCGCCACAAACGATCAATTTTATTCTCAACTTTTATCTCCCTTTTATATATATATATATACCGTTTCTATTTCATCTCAATCTCGTCGGATATAAAAATACAGTTTACATAGGATGTAAGATCCGTTGCGGTGACTCGAATGGAAAACACAAGAGAGACATTTATAACGTCGATTGTTACCTTTGCCTTTCCTACGCACGAATCTTTTAAAGATTTTCTCGATTAAAAAAGAAGAAGTTGAAATAGAAAAATTATTTCTGTCGTAAACCAACGATAAAGCGTATCGCGCTTCTCGTCTGTCCGTTTTTCGGATAAAATTTGAAACTGGATTTTAGTATACGATTTTTAATATTACTTCTAATATTTTACACGAGATATAAAAAAGTCGTATTATACCGCTTTTATCACATTTTCCTGATATGTATCCGTTTCGTGCTTACGTCCTAATCGAAGCGCCTAGATCCGCCAAGATCGGACGATTTAATTTCGATTCAATTTCAATTCTCCTCGAACCATCAGCCGTAAGTCGTGCATCTTTCGAGAAGGAGAAATTGCGACGGTTATCTTTCTTTTCTCCCCATCCCTGTCAAATGCGC